CGTGCCGGGCGCCTCTCCCCCCGCGCGCTCGCACGGCAGCGCCCAGCCCGCGCCCCCCCCAGCGGGCGGCCGAGCCCGGTTGGCCGAGCCCGGCGGCCTCAGCCGCACTCCATGCCGGGCCTGCTTGGGTCGGGGGCGCGCAGGCGTGGAGTATAGCGATCCATGCGTCAGAGGCGCGCGGTCGCCAAAAAGCCATGGATCGGGGGAGGCGCCCTCCCCCCCAAGCTGCGGCCGGTGCCGCCTCGCTCGGCGGCGGAGAGCCGCGCATTCCCATGGAGAGGGGACCCGTCGCTGCGGGGCGGGGAGTTATCCAGATGCACCGCCTGGGAACCGACGTCCTGGTGCCCCAGCGGGCGGTGGATATGGATATATATATATATATATATATATATATAATATATATATATATATATATATATATATAGTTCGGCCCCCGGGGGCCCGAAGATGTCCATATATCCACCGCCTGCCGAGGCTCCGAGAACTGGCCCTCCAGGCGGTGGGTATGGATCCACTCCCGCCCATTGGAGTCGCTGCTCCACGCCCCCCCATGGCTCCAGGCTTGCGATCATCGCGCGATCGGGGCCGCGCGGCGGAGCGCGCTCGCCCCCCCCCCCCCCCCCCCCCCCGCGCGGGCGGGGCCCCCCCGAGCTCCGGGCGCGCGGCGCCGCAAAAACTTATAAGCACACCTGCAGGCGCGCTGCCGCCCCGGCGCCCGGCCCCGGGGCCCTCACGGACGGAGCCGGCTCGGAGCGCGCCAAAGCCCTTCAAAAAACTGAAGGAGGACCTATATGGTTGTTGCCTCTTTGGGCCCTCTGGAGAGGCCTCTTGGAGGCCTCCCGCGGCGCCCTTGGAGGCCTCGCGGGCCAGCGCGAGGCCGTCTTGGGCGTCTTGGAGCGATCGCTCGGCAGCTCGGGGCCCTCTTGGGCTCATCGGAGGGGGGCTGGCTCGGAGCACGTGGCAGGAAGATTCCGGGAGAGCTCCCTGGAGAGCCAGAAGGGCTTCAGGTTCAGAAGCCAAAGCCCCGCACGGTAGCCCCGGAGAGCGTTCCGGCGGCGGTCCAGGCTTCCCGGCGCGGGCTGCTTGAGGCTGCAGCGTGTTCCGGCAGGCCCTTCACTGAGCGTTTCCCAATGCGCGTGCCCTGAAGCTCTCCAGAAGAGCCTTCGGAAGCTCTCTCCAGGTCCTTCCAAAGGGCTTCACCAGGCCTTTCCACGCCCTTCGGGCGCCCTGCTATCCGGGTTTTGGACTACACATGTAGTTCTCTCCATCAGCACGATGTCGGGTATCGACGTCTGGACTCGCATGTTCAGGCACGAAGTTCTCGGGGAGAGAATCGTGCCGAGAAAGCGCCCCGACTGAGAAGTGGCATAAGCATGATCGCACGTTTTTCCACTCGGGAATGCCTTCTGGGCCCCGTCGCGGGCGGGCCCTAGACGCTCCGAGAGCACTTGGGTGCGGGGCTCTGGTGGTGACTTTTCGCGATGTTCCACTTGTTTCGGCGGTGGACAAACCTCCCTTTAGTAGACCTCCCCTTAGTGAAAACGGCCTCGGACCGAATCCGACGGACCTGGACCCGCAAAAATGACGCCCTCTCGCGAACCGAAAACGGCCAATTCCTGAATCAACGTGTCAGGGTAGGAGGTCTGTCCACCCCCGATTGTTCGCAACGTCGGATATCGGGGGAGGGGGGGCACACACGACGGCGACGGCGGCGGCGGCTTTGGCAGCGGCGGCGACGGCGGCGACGTCGGCGTCGACCACGGCGACGGCGGCGGCGACACCACGGCCAGCAGCGGCGTCACCGGGCTGCTCCACGGAAGGGCGCGCGCCGTGCGGGGAAGGGAGGCTCGGCCCGGAGGGAGCGCTGGGCCGAGCTCCGGCCGAGAAGCGTTCTCTGACCTGCGCTTGGCCGAACTCCGGCGGAGAAGCATCATCTGGTGGGCTTGTTTTCCACCGCCACCACCAGAAGCAGGAGGGGAAGGGGGTCCTCCTCCTCCTCCTCCTCCTCCTCCTCCTCCTCCTCCTCCTCCTCCTCCTCCTCTACCTCCTCTTCGTCCTCCTCCTCATCCTCCTCCTCATCCTCCACCTCCTTTCCCTTTCCAACTTATGGTGGTGGTGGTGTAAAACAGGCCCATCGTGATCTGACCTGCTCGCACGCTCCCGGAGACTTCCCAGCCTCGGGACGCCTTCCAGCAGCTGCGCCTCGCCGGGAGCGTTCCGGGGTTGTGCCCGGAGCGTCCCGAGCGGCCGCGTTGGAGGCCCGAGCGTCGGCCCAAGAGCCACGGAGCTCCCATGGAGTTCCAGCGCATTGAACAAGACGGCGCGGAGGTTTACTTTGCTTTCAGGTTCGATGGTGGGCCAGAAAACAAACGACACCACCCCACCTACGGCCCCACGGGGCTTAGCGTATTCCAGGAAATCCAGCGTGGGTTTTTACGTGATATACGCTACGGCCACCGATGAGCCGTAGCGCAACATGGAGGGCCGTAGGTGGGATAGTGTCGTTTGTTTGTTGGTCGAAAAGGGCCTCTCCAGGCCCTGGCGCCGAAAGGGTCGGGACTGAAGAAGCCCCGCATTACGCACAAATCGACAGGGGCCGGATGTCTGCGGGAACGCGACGGTGCGATGTGTTCACTGCCCGGCCCCGCCAGTCTCGGCCCCTTCTCTGGGGCCAGGTCTCGCCTTCCAAATCCCATTCGGCGGGTCACGGCCCCAGATATGAGGCAAATCCTCTGCTGCAGATGTGTTCGTGACGTCGGCGCCCGGTCCAGCTTCACACGCTCGGCGGCCCCAGGGCCAGGGAAGCGGCCTCCTGAGGCCGGCAACGACGAACAGCTGGTCGTCACGATCTCTGACTGCAGCACCTGGATCGACTGGAGGAAAATCGGAGGGGAACGCTGGGGTTGAAGAACTCACCGGTTCGGATGTCTTGGGCACGGGGCGGAGGGCAGAATCAGTCAGCATGGAATTGGGAGATCGGATCGCGTCAGCATTTGCTTCGGATCGGGCCGCCTCGGCACGGAGTCGAAACCGACTCGGGACAGCCGCACCAGCATGCACGACAGCGCCATGCAGTCATCAGGCCACTGGACCGCCAGAACCTGAGCCCTTGCTTCCACTACTCGCGAGAACGCCCGTAACCCGCTCCGCCCTCCCCGCCCCACCCCTGACCACGCCACGACTCGCGCCCTCGCCGTCTGGGAAGTGGCCGTCCCTGGGAAATCCCAGACGGCGCCGGCGCGAAGCGTGACGTGACTGGGCCCCTCCCCCCTCCCGGCCCGTGATGTCGCCAGGGGATGAAGAAAACTGGTCTCCATCTTGACCGAATCGGACCCGGCGGGGCGAAATCGATGTCGAACCGGACCGAGATCGGATGGGTTCGAAGGTGGGCCCCGCGAAGCGGCGGGGGGAGCCGACCGCACGCAAGGGGGGCCCATGTGGGCAAGAGTGACCTTTTGTGAGTGCGCGGCTTGAGGGGACCGGGGGTGGGCCAAATCCAAGCACGACTCTGGGTGTCTTAATAAGTGTGGGGGGGTGCCCCCCCGACGGGGGTCAGCCTCGCCTCGCCGTCGCGCCGCGACGGGGGGTCGGAGCGCCTTCGGCGCGCGGCTGCCGCCCGCGACGGGGGTCGATGTGGGGCTGTCGGCGGGGGTGACCCCCCCCGACGCTTATTAAGAAACTCCGAGTGCCCTTGCAGTTCCGCTTGAAGAATCCACTAGCGTCGACTAGCGCCTGCAAATCGATGCGACAGCGCCGACCTAGCGTAGATGAGCGCCGATTCATGTCGATTCAGCGTCGGCCCATCGGTTTGCAGGAACTTCCCTCATCCTTCTCCCTCTCCTGGGCCTGGCCATGCGTATCCAGAGCTGGCCAATCGAGAGAGTGAGCAACAAACGGGTTCTAGTAGTTGGGTGAAGGCACAAAAAGACACGCTACGGCGACCGTGGGATGTTATGCTGCCCCAAATGACGCTGCGTGTTGGCATAATGCGCCATCTGCAGGGCAAATACAACGCACCCTTCCTGACCTAGAAAAGAAACGTACCGTCAAATCGTGCCCAAACTGATGTCACTTAGTTTTGCACGGGTAGCCTTTACAGCATGCGGCCGTGCATACCCGATTAGTTGCGCCATCGACGGCTTACTGCAGCAATGGAAGGAGGCATGCTCCAATTTCAGTATCCCCAGTGTCGAACCAACTCTGGCTTTCAGAGAGCTGCGAAACTTGTTCATATTCCTGGCATCTGCGCCGTGATCTCCAGACAAGGTCGTGATGTACTGTACCACCTGTGCACGTCGTCCACCAGCAGATATGCTATGACCACAGCTGCCTTATGTCTCTTGGCAAATGTTGCTGCCTCTATGCATGGTTTCCATGCCGCATGGCTCACAATCGTTATGAAAACGACGCAGGGACACAGCATCAAACAGCTCTTCTTGCGCACAGTACTTGCAAACGACTAGAAACCATACAGCAAGGCATGTGGAGGACACGTGTTAGGTGTATAAAGATATACATATGTATGTATAAACTGTTGAAACAATGCCGCAGAACTCACGAGGGTCCCTGGGCCATTCAAAAACGAAAATTATGTGGCGCACCAGCTGGCAGGCTCGATATGCCTTTTGTAGTTTGGCCAGCACCTCGCGGGTCAGAACCGACGACCCAACCGCGACCTGTCCACACCGTTTTGAGAATATCGGTGGCGTCTGCGGCGAGCCCTGTAACTGAAAAGTTCGCGCGCCTGCGGCGGGCTCCTCCACACTTGTTTTAAACCTCTCAAGCTGCCAACAACATTCCCCGCATTCTCTTTGCCGCAACTACGTGTGCTATGGTAATGTGGCCAGCGCTCCGCGCGTCCGAGGCGAACTCCAGGGTCCACCAGGAGCGCTGCAAAGCGAATGTAGAGTCAGGGCGACAGGAGCACGGGGCGACGGAACATTGAACGAATCAGCAAGTGGAAATAACGAGACAAGCCTGACCTAATCCGCCGACCCTGACTAAACGGGATTGCCACGCCACGCCTGCACACGGGATTGCCCTGGCCGTCGTCCGTCAGCGCGCTCTCGGGGCGGGCCTTCTTGTGCACGGAGCAATAGAAATGCGGCTCCTATTGAGCGGCGATTATCTACACCTGCTCTGCTGCCATTGCTCTCCTAGTTCACGCATTCCGTCCATCCCCTCTCCCGCTCCATGTTCCTCTTTCTATATCCTCTACCTCTCTCTATCTCCCTTTATCTCTCTAGACCCTCTCTCTCTGTGTATCTGTCTCGCTCCCCCTCTACCTCTCTCCACGTATGTGCCCCCTCTGAATTGCACGTGTATCTACATATACTATATATACGCGCATGTATATGAACATACATAATTATGTACACATAGAACTCGCCCTATCATACTCGCTGGCCCTCCATATCTGACTATGAACCAGACTTGCAGATGCATAGTTGTACGTATATAAATAGACATCGACATCTCGCAATATATGTATACACACATTGTAACTATACTTCTACAACTATACACATGCATGTGTGTACACAAGCTGTATCTCTTTCTCTCTTTCTAGGCCCCCTCTCTCTCTCGATGTGTATGTTGGAAATTGAGGGGGGGGGGTCAGATCGCAACGAAACGGAGAGCACACTACAAGGAGATCGGTTTCAGTTTCGAGTCGCACGTGCGGGCGAGGCTAAGCTGCGTGGGCGGGCGTGAGGGATAATCCCGCCCTGGCTAGGGCAAAGCCAGGCTCAATGGCTCCTCCGCCTGGTTGGCCAGCGATGGCCTGGGGGTGTCCCGCCAGTGTCCCGTGGTGCTCCGTGGAGTCCTGGGATGTCCCGGGGTGTCCCGTGGCGCGGTGTCCCGTGGTGTCTCGTGATGTCCTGTGGTGGTCGATAGTGGGATCGATCGTCAGATCGATTGTGAAATTGATTAGGTGAGATCGGTCGTGACACCGATAAAGACATCGATAGTGGGATCAGTAGAGAACTCGACAGTGATATCTTAGTACGGTCGACTGTGAGATCGATAGATCATGATACCGATACAAAAAGATATAGTGTGATCGATGGTGCGATCGATCTTAAGTCGATAGTGAGATCGATTGTGTGGTCGAAAGATACGCTGCAAGTGAGTTCGATCTGAAGGGCGATCTGTGTGGCGAAATCGTAAACGAGGTACATTGTGAGATCGACAGTGGGATCGAAAGAGATATCGACGTTGAGGTCTGTAAGTAGTGAGGTCGATTGATCGAGGGAAATCGATGGTGGGATCGACAGTAATTTTCCGTGGTGTCCCGTCGTGTCTCGTGGTGCCCTGCGGCCGAGCCAGGGCGAATACATCGCACCTGGTTCCGCTGGTTGCACGGATGCTTTTTGATGGGTTGCCCGAGTGATACCGAGATGGCCCAGCAAATTGTCCTGCACGTTCGTAACATGCCTCCAGCGAGGGGCTGGGCAAATAAACGCCACCTGGACCGATAGTGAGATCGGTAGTGCGGTCAATAGCGAGATCGATGCTGAGATCGATCGTGGTATCCCGTGGTGTCTCGTGGAGTCCTGTGGCCTTGCTTTTTGTATTTCCATGTCCTTCTGAAAGAGCGAGCGCGTGGGCACATACATTCCACATGATTCCGCTGGTTTCCCTGATGCTTTGGTGTCTTGTAGTGGGATCGAGTGCGGGGTCGATCGTAGGATCGATAGAGAGATCGAGTGCGAGGAAGGCAGTGCTGTCGGTAGATAAGACGATACGTAGATAGAGAGTGGGGTCGATAGTGAGATCGATCGATAAATCTATAGTGAGGCCGACTGTAAGATCCATAGTGGGATCGATAGTGGGTGCATAGTGAGGTCGATGGTGGTGTGCTGTGGCGCCCAGTGGTGTCTCGTGGCCACATAATAAGTGTCACCTCCAGCAATGGAGGTGGCATTAATTTGCTTGCGTCTGCGGTGGTGACGCAATCACCGGTGTGAGTGCGCCATCGCGGGTGCGTCGTGCCGCTAGCCAGGCCCTGCCAGCCAAAGTTGCTTGATGCACTGCATCAATTACGCGCTGCCAGTATGCGATGCCCCGCTCATCACGAGCATCGCCGCCACGCATCGCCACTACCTCCCACATTGTCACTAGCATCACCGCCGTGCATCGCCATCACGCGCTGTCACCAGCATCGTCGTCGTGCATCGTCGCTAACTCGTCGCCAGCATCGCAGCCACTGCAGTCGTCATCGGTTGCTCCCTCCCCCCCAACAACCTCCTTATCACCCGAAGGATTGTCGTATAGGTATATAGTCATGCAGACCTCTCTTTCTCTCTCCCTCTCTCTCTCTCTCTCTCTCTCTCTCTCTCTCTCTTCGTATGTACGTATCTATACCGAGGAGCAAAAATCCACTTGTACATGCCACACGTACACACAGTCTCTCTCTCTCTCTCTTATGTTGTTCGGTTATCTTTCTCTCTCTCTCTCTTTCTTTCTCTCTCTCTCTCTATTTATATATATACATAGAGATGTACCTCTCGATATATATATATATATATATATATATATATATACACATATACGTCGCACGCACACACACACATTCACTCTCTCTCTCTCTCTCTTTCTCTCTCTCTCTCTCTATCTCTCATTATTTCTCTCTCCCTCTCTCTCGGCCTCCCTCCCTCCCTCCCTCTCTCCCTCCATACCTCCATCCGTCCCTGACTGCCTCCTTCTCTTTCTCTCCAGTGGCCTCTGCGTCCTGACCCGCATGCCTTCGAGCTGCCCCTCCCCCGCCTGCTGATGGCCCTCCATGCGCGTGCCTGCCTCTGTCACTCTGCCTGTGTACGCAGATGCGTTCCCGCACGGGCGCTCCCAGTGGTCATCCATCCATGCTTCCGGCCTGCCGTGGCGCGCGCGTGCTGGCCGCGGGCCAACCCGCAGCGTGCGAGCCGCGCACGCCTCTGCCCCTGCCTCTGCCCCGTCCGGCCCGTCTGTGTGTGTGCGTCTGTCTGCCCGCCTCTGTGCATGCGCCTGCACGCTGGTGTCAGCCATGCCGTCCGTCTGTCTGCCTGCGTCCATCCGCGCCTTCTCTCCACGAGTCTGCGTGCCGCGGTCTGTCTGAACATATGCTACCGCCCGTCGCTGTCTGCGGCCGTCTGTCGCTGACAATCGCTGCCTGCCTCTGGCTGAAGCCGTCTGTCAGCCAGACTGTCTGCCCAGAGGCCTGTCCGTCTACTTGTCTCCGTGTCGGTGCCCGCCTGGCCGTCCTGCTCTCTCCCTCCCTCTCTCTCTCTCTCTCTCTCTCTCTCTTCCGTCGCTCTTTCGCTTCAGCCTGCTGGGACGGGGCACAGCACAAACCGTGCACGCCACGACCAATTCCAGACATGTGCTGTGCCCGCCATGTATAACGAGGGCCGTCTCGGGCCGGGCGAAAGGGGGGGAGAGCAAAGGGGGGTTGAGAATCAGCTCACGTAGCTGATTTTCCCGGCGCCTCCCGGCGCCGGGAGGCGCCCATGTATCGAGGAACAGGCCCGGCGGCGGGGCCGAAACCAGCTGCATGCAGCAGATTTCGTAACCCCCCCTTTCCCTATCCCCCCTTTCGTCCGGCACGAGTCTCCCTTCCAGGGTCGGCGGCACCAGCCGTAGGGCCTTCGCAATAGAAGAAGGAGAACAAGCGGCATGAACACAAATTCTTGGCGCTCCGCGCAGGTTTCCTGCATCTGCGCTGCGCGCGGAGCGCGCCAGGGGGGGCGACGGAGGTGCCGCTGGGGGGGGGGGGGCCAGAGCGGATGCAAGGAATCCTCGCGGAGCGCCAAAAGTGTATGTTCATGCCGTTATATTCCTTCTTCGAGAATACTCACCGCCTCGCCGTGCCCCGCCCCGCGGCGCGGAGGCAACTCTTGGCAAGACCGCACCCGCGCAGGGCGGAGGGGGAGAAGCGCTGCGGGGGCCGACCGGCTCAGGGGGGGGGGGGAGCGTCGACGTGGAATCGACGGTGCGTGGCCCCCGATGGGCATCCGAGCGCTCCTGGGCCGGGTGGGCCGTTGGGCCCCACTCGGCAAGCACTGGGGGAGTCGGCGGGCCGGGGGGTGTCCATAGGTGGCCCCGAGGCTCCAGGCGGCTTGCAAGAGGCAGCCGCTCCAGTTTTGAGTGCCCCCGTGGAACCTGGGCCCTAGGCCGAGGGTCCATGGGCGGCCATGTGGAATCATGAGGGGACATGTCAATGGGTCTGCGGACACTCGGAGCAGACGACCACCGCCGGCACAGCTGGAACGAGCAGTGCGTGTTTGGCGCGCTGTTGCGGCACAGTACACCATGATGGGCGAGTGGGTGTCGATGCTGCTTCCTCTGAGCCCAGGCGTCGGCTGCACGCAAGGGTGACGCTAGGCGGGAGTGACCTCTGTGGTGCGCGGTCTCAGGGGGCTGCGAGGAAGAACAAGTCCACGCAATCCAAGCGCGGTAGCCAGTGCTGGTGGGACCCCTGATTACCCGCATCAAAGGTCACTCCAGCGAGAGGTCACTCTTACGCGTAGCCGATAACGTTGCCCCCGAAGGATGGGAAGGATGTGCCCAGCGCCAGCGCAGCTGCAGCCCGCCTGGCCGTGCAGGCGCGCCAACTCCAGCTAACGCCCACTCAGCAGAGGAGGAGCCTCCGGCCCGCAGCCCTGGATGCTGGACCCCAGCCCCGATTGCCAGGCGCTCGAGGCCAGTCGGCGTGCTGGTCGAGAGGCGCAGAACACGGCATGGCACACAGACCTTCTGCGCTCCGCGCGGATTTTTTCTGGATCGGCGCTGGGCCCCTCTTCGGCGCCTCCGGTGCCGCCCGCGGCGCGCTCCGCGCGCCAGGGAGGCGGAGGGGGGGGGGACAGCGCAGACCCAAGACATCTGCGCGGACTCCGAAGATTTACAGCCGGGCTTCCGAAACGAGGAACGCTACATGGGGAGCGACGCCCCTCTGCGGCGTCAGAACAGCCCGGGTGCACGAGCAGGGCTGAAGGAACGACCGCGGAAGGACGCCAGGGACATCGAGCCCTTTGCGAAGCCAAACTGTTCCGTATGTCGGCGTCTTGGCTGCGCATGCTCGCGCGCGAGAAGGGCTGGAGGAACGACCGCGGAAGGACGCGAGGCACATCGAGC